TTTGGTGAGTTGCCTGTTTCTGCATTAAAGTTAGTGCTAAGGGCTCAGGAAGTGTTCCGGGGTTCAAGTCAAGAACCATCTGGGCAGGAATTCACCAGCACGGCAACTTAAACTGTATAGGATTGTAAGAAACACCAAGGGGTTGACCTGGTAAAATTGGAACTACAAACGTATTGGAAATAGTTAAGAGAAATATTTGTTTTTAAGATCAGTGCCCTGTCTCTTACTGTGTCCTTCTATCTGTCTCAGTAGCCTCCCTTTTTTGGTTTATGTGGATTTTCCTCTTGTTTGCTCAAGTTTTCCAATTCAGCAACTTCACTGCCTCTGCAGCGGGTATCTGTGTTACCAGGGGGTTCACAACAAGAATGAATCACACACTGGCCAGATTCTGCTCTCACGTTCTGCCTTCAGTGGGTCACTCCAGGTTGACACTGGCTTCCCTGAAGGCAAAATCAGGGCCCCTGTATTTGAAATCCCTGTCCTTCATGGCCTGTCTCAGAGTGCCACATAAACTGGGGGTTTCCTTCAGACTCTTTCAGCATCCTAACAGAATAGCGCTCTCTGCAGCAGAACCGAAAGCCGTGATTTTCACGGCTCAGAGCCGAAAGTTAAACACTGAGGGTTTATCTGGTTCCATTGTGAAAGACGGCCAGGAGTTCACCATAAATCTGCATGTAGGGACTTAAATAAATGGCCTAATTTACACCGGCCATGAGCCTCCAGTGACCTTAACTAGAGGTGTCCCGTGGCCGCTAAGGATGGGTGAGCTCGTTTGGACCAAGGAGGAACTGACAGCAGAGTTACTGAAATCTCAAACTCACAGGCCTAAAGATTTAAAACAATTCGAATAAAAAAAAATTCAGGGAGGGAGAGGGGTCTGCTCTCTCTGAGCCCCTGCATCTCTGGGTCTGGAGAGGACGAGAAGTACTAAAAGGCAGTAAAAAGAAAAGCATGTTTCTGGCTTAGCAGAGACCAGGCGGTGTTGGAAGTCTCACTGGTGGAAGCCCAGGAACATGCAATGTGTGGGTGGGTGGGGGGGAGAGAAGACATGCAGTATCCAGATCACAGTGGCACAGAGCCCTGAAACCGTACAAAATAGGGAATAGAAATCCTGCCTAACGCATAGACCAAAGAGGTGCAACGAGGCCTCATGAGGATGGGGGGTGTCTCAGTCAGTAACATAATGTGGATCACACTGTAGCAGATTGTCTCTGACATCATCCCCCATCCGGACCATCCCTCCTCCCAGGAGCAGCCCCACTACAGCCTCATGACGACAGCAATTGCCAACACAGGAAAGCAGCCTCAGGAAGGTGTGTTTGGGTTTCTAACAGGCTGTGATATGTTAAAGCTTTGTACTGTTTTGAGGAAGAGTTACTCATGTGGGTTCTTTTCCTCTCTGCGTCCTTTCTCCCTCCCGCCGGGTCTGTCCCTCTCTCCTTCCGTGCAGACGTTGAGCTGCTGCTGCTGGGGTTTCCCTCTGTCCAACACAGGAATTTCATCATGGATCAGACCTATGGTTCATCTAGACCAGTGTCCTCTCTCTGATAGTGACAGCCCCAGGTGCTGCAGAAGAAGGTGTAAGAAACCCAGCAGTAGGTGGATGACCGAACAGTCCTGAGGGTGTCACCCTAATGCATAACAGCTAGAGATTGGCTTCTGCCCTGAAATAGATGGGCATATAGGCTTTCCAAAATAATTATTTAGCAGTAACTATTCTAACTGGATAGTCTCACTATCCATGTAAATGTCCACATCCTTCCTGATTCTTGCTTAGCTCATGATCTCAACTACCTCTTGTGGCCATGAGTTCCTCAGTCTAATTATGCATTTAGTGAAGAAAGCATTCTTTTTTTATCTGTTTTGAATTTGCCATGTTCCAGATAATTGAATGTCCTCTTGATCTTGTGCTATGAGACAGGAAGAACACATTCTCGATCTACTCTCTACCAGTCAGTATTTTATAGATGTTTATCATTTCCCATCTAATTCGTATCATTTGTAAGATAATAATCCCAGTCTTTTCAATACCTCTCTGTATGAGAGTTTCCCTGGACCCTTGATCATTCTCGTTGCCCTTCTCTGAGCCCTTTCTAGTTCTGCCATATTCTGTGTGAGAAGGGTGCCCAGTACTACACAGAGGAGTCCAGAGGAGGGTGAAATATTGACTGACTGATCTCATGGCATTGCATTTTCTGTATGATTCCCCATCCCACTCCTCCTGGATCCCAGAGATTTGCTTAGTTTCTGTCCGTGCTTGCGCTGTGAGCAGGGTTTCACAGAGCTGTGTACCATGATGCCCAGGTCCCTATCCTGAGTTCATACAGTTAAATTAGAACCTTGTAAGGTGTTTGAGGAGTTTGAGCTTTTCCCTCCAATGGGTATACATGAGGCAGATATTACCATCAAAGTTCATCTGCCATCATGATGCCCATACACCTGGCTTGGTTAGCTCCCTGTGAGGGCTTTTCTGGATTACACTTTGACCTAAATAATCTGGTGCCATCCCTAAATGTTGGCAACTCACTGCTCACCCCCTTTTCTACATTGTTAATAACTATAAAATATTTATCCTACTGTTTGTTATAAAGTGTAATCAACCTCATTGTGTTTCTTTCCCTTCACAGGAACCTTGAGCCCAATCAACGCATCTACCACCTCATGGCAGCTTTCAACCTCACCCCCTCTGACCCTTCAACATTCACACTAACGGGGATCCCTGGCTTGGAAGCTGCTCACATCTGGATTTCCATCCCTTTCACTATGTTCTATATTATCGGCTTGTTGGGAAATTTTACGCTTTTGTTTGTGGTAGGGAAAGAGCGGACCCTGCACAAGCCGATGTACCTGCTGCTCTGCCTGCTGGCAGTCACTGAAATTGGCACGTCTACCTCCATCGTGCCAAATGCACTGTGTATACTTTGGTTCAATTTGAAAGGCATTACGGTGGGTGGCTGCCTCACCCAGATGTTCTTCCTTCATGCGGGTACTGTGATGCACTCAGCCGTCCTCGTGACAATGGCCTTCGATCGCTACGTTGCCATATGTAAACCTCTGAGTTATGCCACCATCCTCACCAATGCACGAATAGCTAAGCTCGGGGTAGTGGGTTTGATAAGAGCTGTTCTCTGCATCCTGCCCCTGCCCCTGCTCCTGAGCAGGCAGCCATTCTGTGCCAACCGCATTATCCCCCACACGTACTGTGACCACATGGCTGTGGCAAAGCTATCATGTGGGGACATCACTGTTAACAGGATGTACGGCTTGGTGATAGCGTTTGTAGTCAACGGGTCAGACCTGACACTCATTGCACTATCCTACAGTCTGATCATCAGGGCTGTCCTCAGAATCTCCTCCAAGAAAACCCACCAGAAAGCTCTCAACACCTGCACAGCCCACATCTGTGTGATGTTGATGTCCTATCCTCCCTTCTTCTTCTCCACTCTGACACACCGGTTCGGTCAGGGCATCGCTCCCCACATTCACATCATCTTGGCCAACCTCTATTTCCTTCTCCCCACCATGTTCAATCCTATCATTTATGGGGTAAAAAACAAAGAGCTTCGTGAGAAAATGGGAAAATACACCTGCAGAATGTACTCACCTGGGGGTCACTGACTTTAATCCTGTGTGACAAGAGGGGGACAGGATACTTCCTCGTCAATCGTGCTCTGTCCCAGTATGGCTGAGCTCAGCATTGTGGAAGTTTAAAGTCTGAGAAGCTCCTCACACCTAACATCTTATCACTCCGTCACCAAGTACCAAGCTCTCTCTGTTGCTGAGTTACCTCTCTCTGACCATAACCTGATCTGTTTTAGCATCACCCACCAGCCTCCACCTCCACACACCCTATCACTCGGCCTTTCGGTGACTTCCAGACCACAAGAAGATATTACAGGTTTCTGAAGCAAGGTGGCTTTCCATTAGAGCCTCTTTGAACAGGGTTCTTGATCAGTCTGACTAACTGAAGCTATGCTCTCTGATAGCCAAAGACAAGGAAAGCAAGTACAATGCTGGACTTATATGTACAGTGATCCGGTGAGCAAAATTTACCTGATTTTTCTATGTCTAATCCTTCAGGAAGGATACACCAAAAGTTTCCATTGGAAAGTGCTAATACAGGAAAGCTGCTGCAGGAATTGAGGACATTCTACTAGAGCTTATTGCTGAGAGTTGTGAAACTGTGTGTTTTTGAGAACTGGACCGTGTTACCCTGGATTTGAGGGGTGTGTATCCCAGAGAGTGATCAAGCCAATTGCAACCATATGACTTGCACTCAGCCACTAGAAATTAATAAAATAGAACATCACATACTTTAGGGTTAATTGGAAAGCAGGATTTTAGATGCAAGGTCAAAATCTAGCTGGCAGTTTCTGGTAATCAGAATGGGAGGAGTGGACAGACAAGTAAATAAGTGATAATGGATGAAAACCTTGAATTCAGAAACCTCTGATATTAGAAGTTTATTGAAAGTTAGGAAAAGTGATAATCGAGTTGGGGTCACTATGACCTATAACTTCATAGAAATTATAAAAGATTAGCTAATACAGTGTACTTTGGAGCAGTTCTTTGAAGCCATCTTGAGAGACATTTTTCCTGACACCTTCTCTTCCCAGCAACTGGCCACTGCGAACCTGCTGTTAATTACTCAATACAGTTCCAGATGTTAGGTAAATATCTGGGATGTTCTAACCTATTGCTTATGTCTGTGCGCGCTTAAATCTAATACACTGCTGTGTTAGACAAGAACATGATTACTTGCATTTAATCCTTGATCAAACAGAATTGCTGTGTTCCCATTGAGTTATTCCTGACACCCCCTGGATTGAAATAATTAAGTTGCCACTGCTCGGGCTTCTCAAAAACCAGGGTAACAGACTGCTGTGGTAAACTATAACATCTCCTTGGAGTCCAATAACTTATCGCTTTGCACAATCGATTTTGGAGTCGCTTTCAGCAGGAACTTTCAAAATACACACTAACCATTCCTGTTGTCGAAGATGTCAAAAGTAGGTGTCAAGAGTAATCTTGGAGTTTGTGAAACAGATGAAATGGAAATTGCCACCAAATGTGCAGGTGATTGAATTGCTTCCAGCAGTAAGTCCTTCATGACCGAGATTGGCTGACACTGGTGACCCCATCTGGAGTACTGTGTCCAGTTTTGGGCCCCACACTACAAGAAGGATGTGCAAAAATTGAAAAGAGTCCAGCGGAGGGCAACAAAAATGATTAGGGGGCTGGAGCACATGACATATGATGAGAGGCTGAGGGAACTGGGATTGTTTAGTCTGCAGAAGAGAAGAATGAGGGGGGATTTGATAGCTGCTTTCAACTACCTGAAAGGGGGGTTCCAAAGAGGATGGAGCTCGGCTGTACTCAGTGGTAGCAGATGACAGAACAAGGAGTAATGGTCTCAAGTTGAAGTGGGGGAGGTCTAGGTTGGATATTAGAAAAAACTTTTTCACTAGGAGGGTGGTGAAGCACTGGATAGGGTTACCTAGGGAGGTGGTGCAATCTCCTTCCTTAGAGGTATATAAGGTCAGGCTTGACAAAGCCCTAGCTGGGATGATTATGTGGGGATTGGTCCAGCTGTGAGCAGGGGGTTGGACTAGATGACCTCCTGAGGTCCCTTCCAACCCTGATATTCTATGATTCTATGATATCTCAATTTTTCCATTGTTTTGTGGAGACCTTGGACAGTTGGAACAGCAGTGGAGAGTTTTGCCTATGGTTCACTGGCCTCATATTCAGAGAAATCAAGTAGACCAGTTTTGGGTTCAAGAACTTAAACACATTGATGCCACTGGGGACAAAGACTTTAGTTAACTTGGCTTGTTTCGTCTTTTATTGCTGTTGCTACCTTTTAGCAACACTGCGATTGAAAGACTATTTTCTCAGCTGGCAACAAGATGTTTTTATCAGTATACATGCAATGACACCAAATCTGTTGTGAAGAGTTTGCACCAAGGAAAGAAATTATTGCACTGGTCACTGCTGGTATGTATGACCAGCAGCAAAAGCATTCTACTTCCAACGAAGACAAGGAGGATGAAATGTTGCCCTTCAGAAACTAACAGTAACAAACCAATTCAACTCAAAATATGGACACTGACTACCGTCATTTAATGAAATTAGAAATAAATAATATAATAATGTTATTGTTGTTTTTACACTGCATATATTTTGGGCTCATTTGGGGATATTTTTCATGCCATCATTTCCCGTTTTTTGTTTGCCAGCCCTCAATCGGGATACAAGTACCAGTATTGGGGGGTTGATTTTGAATTTAATTGTTATCTCATAACTTTGTTGCTAAGGTGGAGGTACTTCTGCTGGGGCTTGTAGGGTTTTTTTTTTAACCTAATCTGTACTAGGTATCTAGGAAAAGCTTTCATTTGTTACTTGAAGTATAGACTAATGTGTTAATAAAAAAAACCTTTGTTTAAAGGCATAGATTGGGTTACTTTTAGGTTAGTTTTTCAGTGATTTGGGCTATTAATGCAGTAGAAGTCTGACAAACTTCCAGCACCTCAAGCTGAGCTGCAGGTCGAGCAGCAGCAGCCAGAAAAATAAGGGCCAGCGAAGCAGCCCAGAAGGCAGAGCTGGGCCAGAAGCAGACCAGAACCAGGAGCTGGGTCAGCATGGACCAGCTACGTCAATGGGGAGCCAGGGTTCAGCTCCATCGGGAAGCTGCAGGGCCAGAGCCAGGATAGTGGATGCCGGCCATGCCACAAGTAACACGACAGCTGAGCACAAAGAGTGGCTGGGAAGAGCAAGGTGGGGCCATGGGAAGTGGGGGGACATGAATCTGATGGAAGGGCAGATGTTGGGGAGAAGGGTCCTGCCACCTAGAGTCTCGGTGTGTGTGGCCACTGTCAGAGCAAGTGTCTGAGCTGTGGTATCACTACACCACAGCCAGGGCCTGGGCAGGAGGCCTGGGACGTGTGAGGAACAGACTGTGAACTTTCCTTACATCCCAGAAACAGCTGTTGGTGATGTCCCTGTACCCACAGAGTGGGGTCCCTTGTTTCCTTGAACATTTCCCATTTTTTCCTTATTTTTCTTACAGTTGCTGTTTAATAAATTCTATTTGGTTTGAACTTAATGTTGTGACCAGTAAGTCAGTGAAGAGAGTACACTGGGTGGGGACACCCTAGTCCCAGTCCTAAGTGACCAGGACAGAGGCTCAACTTAAATGTATACTCCAAATTAAAAAACACAGTCAGAGAACCAAAAAAGAGCCACCATGGCTAAACAAAGTAAAAGAAGCAGTGAGAGGCAAAAAGGCATCCTTTAAAATGTGGAAGTTAAACCCTAGTGAGAAAAATGGAAAGGAGCATAAACTCTGGCAAATGAAGTGTAAAAATATAATTAGGAAGGCCAAAAAAGTATTTGAAGAACAGCTAGCCAAAGACTCAAAAAGAAATGGCAAAAAAAAAAAATACAAGTACATCAGGAGCAGGAAGCCTCCTAAACAACTAGTGGGGACACTGGACAATCGAGATACTAAAGGAGCACTCAAGGACGATAAGGCCATTGCAGAGAAACTAAATGAATTTACATCAGTTTTCATGGTTGAGGATGTGAGGGAGATTCCATTCATTTTAGGTGAAAAATCTGAGGAACTGTACCAGACTGAGGTGTCATTAGAGGAGGTTTTGGAACAAATTGATAAACTAAACAGTAATAAATCACCAGGACTAGATGCTATTCACCCAAGAGTTCTGAAGGAACTCAAATGTGAAATTACAGTAAATAGTCCTGCAGTCTGTAACATATCATTTAAATTAGTTTCTGTACCAAATGACTGGAGGATAGCTGAGATGTCAATTTTTAGAAAGGGCTCCAGAGGTAACCCCAGCAATTACAGGGGGTAACCCTGACTTCAGTACCGGGCAAACTGGTTGAAACTGTAGTAAAGAACAAAGCTGTCAGACACATAAATGAACATAGTTTATTCGGGAAATTAATAGGCAGCAGGTTTAAAATGAAGAAAAGGATGTATTTCTTCACACAACACACAGACAACTATTGGAACTCTTTGCCAGAGGATGTTGTGAAAGCCAAGACTATAACAGGGTTTGATAAAGAATTAGATAAGTTCATGGAGGATAGGTCCACCAGTGGCTATTAGCCAGCATGGTCAGGGATGCAAAACTATGCCTTGAAGTGTTCCTAGCCTCTGTTTCCCAGAACTTGGGAAGGGGCTACAGAGGATGGATCATTTGATGATTACCTGTTCTGTTCATTCCCTCTGGGGCACCTGGCATTGACCACTGACAGAAGACAGGATACTGGGCTAGATGGACCATTGGTCTGACCCTATGTGGCCACTCTTATGTCCTTATCTGAGTCTTCTTTTTTCTTTTCTGGATGCTGGACCTCATAGTTGATGGGGCTCAAATGCCTCACCACCTCAAATGGTCCCTGCCATTGAACCAGTAATTTGAACTGGAGCAAGTCACTCAATCACCCAGTGTGAACCCTTGTGGCTGGACTCCTTAGTTATAGGCCTTCTCTTGTACCTATTGTGAATTTAGCAAATTCTCCTAGCAAATGCCTGTAAAGTCTTGAGGTGATTTCTTAATTAAAGAATGTATTGGACTATGTTCATTGTCTGGGGTTTTTGCTGTTCTGTGTTTCTCCAAGCAGGTCTGGAAACCCTTTGGCTGCTTCCCAGACAGCAGTTCAAAGGGAGAAACCTTGGAGACTTCAGGCACATTCCTGATAGCAGAAAGGAGGCAGGGGAAGAGTTGGTGCCAGTGTTTGGATTCTGAGGTTACAAAATACTTTAACGTCGCCATCAAAGTTCTGTGAAATCGCTCCACCAATTCATCAGTTTGGGGATGGTAGATCAACATTCCAAATGTTGTTACCCTCATTTAGACTGCACAGCCTTTCATTAGTTGTAAAGTGAAGTTAGGTCCTTGATCAGTAAGGATTTCTTGGGGTATTACCACCTGGGAGAGGAATTTCATAGGCTCATTTGGTTCATGGCCAGAGTGCTAGATTTATACCTGGAGGGTAATAAACCTGACTGGGTGCCTTTGTCACCGAACCGTGCCTGTGGTTTTTCTTTATGAGTAACATCGAGGTCTGCTGAACGAGCAGATTGCCTAATCTTTGAATACTGATAACACTGGAGATCCAAGGACAGAAGCACTGAGCAGCCTGAACAGCGTTCCCGAGGCGACGACATTCCAGCCTTCAGCACTTGACAACAGCCGGCTGACACTCTGAGCCCAGGGGAGAACAACTCTACAGTCTGGAGCAAGTCAGCAACTGTTGTACCTCCTGCCCAACATGTGGTCACTGCCTCAGTTGCTGCGGTTCAACCACTTATCCTTAGCCAAGCCCATGAACAACTCGCTGTGGTAAATGGGGAAGATTATGCAACGGAAGTTAAGGATTCTGTGACTTTCAGAGACCTCTGTGACATTTTCCACGTCAGCCCCTGTGCAGCACACCAGAGCTGTCAGCCTGTGGGGGCCCCCGCGCTCTCAGCTGCCATGGGAGGTGAAGGACCCAGCAGCTCTTAGCCCCCACAGTCGGTGGTGGGACCCAGAGCTCCGATCTGCCATGGGCAGTGGGGGCCCCCATAGCTCTGTGGCTCTGGGGCTGTGGCAGGGGCTCCAGAGCTCTGAGCTACTGGGGCTGCGCTGGAGACCAGGGAGCTGTTAGCCATGGTGGCAGCAGGTGCTGGACCCTCCCCCCTCCAGTAGCGGGGCTCAGGCTCTCATCCTCCTGATCGGGCTTTAATCCTCCCCCTGTCAGTTCTCCTCCCGCCCGTTATTTTTGTAAAAGTCACAGACAGGTCACGGGCTTCCATGAATTTTTGTTTATTGCCAGTGACCTGTCCGTGACTTTTACTAAAAATAATTGTAACAAATCCTTAACCTTAGGCATGCCTGATCATCTGGTCTGCCCCTCGTTCCTGAGCAAAATTGTGTCATATGCCAGGATAGCCACTCCCCGACTGAACACATTCTGTATGCTGTCGAGAGCTGTGGTGTTTGCCGGCCCACTGACCTGGCTGAAAGTGCTCTCCACAGCATCTGCTTTTTTCCTCTCCTATT